AGTTTGATCGGGCAAATTGGGACCTATACTCACAACTAACTGTTTTTCGTGAGGTTCCTTCTTCGTCCTCCACTGATGAGCTTATACACCTCTTCTCGTCCTCAGTTTTAACCGCATCTTCTCATTCTATACCCCAAACCTCGGGCAGGCATTCTAAGAAATGCATGCCTTGGTGGTCTCCTGCTTGTGCTCGTGCAGTACGTTTGAAACGCGCTGCATGGGGCAGGTACCGGTATAATAGAACCACTGAGAGACTTCTTGATATTAAGCAGAAGCGTGCGATCACTCGCCGTGTCATCCGTGACGCTAAACACACTTGCTGGCGAGATTATGTCTCCACCATCACGTCTGCTTCCTCTATGAGTACAGTCTGGAAAAGGAACACGGAAACTGAGTAGTAAATATTCTCCTGACCCGGCTCCTGTTCTGCAGGTTGCCGGTGTTGATATAGCAAACCCACTAGATGTTGCCATTGAAATTGGCAATCATCTGGTCCGTATTTCTCTGGGGCTCCATCTCTGCCCCTCGTTTCTTTCCTCAAAGTCTGCCAGAGAATTAGCACCCGTGGACTTTTCTTCTCTCAGAGAAGAACAGTATAATGTGCCTTTTACACTTCAGGAACTGGAGGCAACACTCTTAGCTTGCCGATCATCGACAGCTGGGCCCGACGACATTCATATTCGTATGTTGTAACATTTACATCAGTCAGCCCTTGCAGTCCTATTACGCCTTTTCAATTTTAATTGGTCACAAGGAGTTCTTCCACAACTGTGGAAATCTGCCATTGTTCTCCCTTTCCGCAATCCGGGTACTACGGGACATGAAGCCTCCCACTTTCGTCCCATCGCTCTTACCAGTGCAGTTTGCAAAGTGATGGAACGTCTGGTAAACAGACGTTTAATGTGGTATTTAGAGACACACAACAGTCTCTCCACTTGTCAATATGGCTTTTGTAAGGGCCGTTCTACCATAGACCATTTACTACGTTTGGATACGTATGTTCGTAATGCCTTCGCAAATAACCACTCAGTTATTGCCATATTTTTTGACCTTGAGAAGGCATATGACACAACTTGGAGGTATAATATTTTGGCCCAAGCCCACTCCTTAGGCCTCCGAGGCAATCTACCATCCTTCCTTAAGAACATTTTAACTGACAGGCATTTCCGTGTTCGTGTTAATAATGTGCTCTCCCCGGATTTTATCCAAGCTGAAGGTGTCCCTCAGGGATTTGTTCTTAGCACAACACTTTTTCTCCTTGCTATAAATGATTTGGCCTGTTCTTCCATCCAATATTTGGTCATCACTCTATGTAGATGACTTCGCTATTGCTTGTGCAGGCACTGACTGTCACCTCATTACAGTTTCTCTCCGACATGCGGTCCACCCTGTTTCCAATTGGGTCACCACGCATGGGTATAAATTTTCCAGTACCAAAACTCACCAAATTACTTTCACTAGAGCCTCTGTCATCTCCAGTCATCCTTTGTACCTCTATGGCTCCCGTATCCCTGAATGTGATAGTCAGGTTTCTAGGCCTTCTCTTTGACCATAGGTTATCCTGGAAACCCCACATTGCCTCTATAAAGGCAACTTGTCACAGCCGGCTGAACTTCTAAACACTCTTGCTCATCTTTCATGGGGAGCTGATCGTCGAACTCTCCTTCCTTTAGCCCTCATTTTATCGAAACTCGATTATGGTGACCAGATCTATTCAGTGGCCTCTCCTGCTACTCTCTCTAGCCTTAACCAAGGATTACGTTTATGCCTTGGCGCTTTTCGCTCTTCCCCTGTTGTGAGCCTCTATGCAGAAGCGAATGTTCCATCCTTGTCTGTGTGCTCTCACTATCTCCGCAATCCTTCCATTTATAGAATGGTCACTGATGTAAGTAGACATTCTTTATTTGTTGACCGCCCCTGTTTGCTCCGTCCCTTCTGTCTTCGCCTACATTCGCTCTTGTCTTCCCTTCAGTTACCGCCCTTATATGTTCATGTAGCATCTCACTTTTCCCTACCCCCCTGGGAAGTTCCAGCTGTTCAGGTCTGTTCTTTCTCACTCCCTTGCTCGAAAGCCTAACTACCTATGGTAGCTTCCCACTCTATTTTTCTTGACCACTTCCACTCTCATTCTCATGCCATCGCCGTGTACACAGATGGATCTAAATCTTCTGACGGCGTTGGATTCGCAGCAGTGTTTCCGGACAGCGTCGTGCGGGGGTATTTACTATCTTCGGCTAGCATTTTTACTGCTGAATTGTATGCCATTCTTTCAGCACTTATTCGTATCGCATCTATGCCTGTGTCATCATTTGTGGTTGTTTCTGACTCCCTCAGTGCTCTTCAGGCTTTAAGGAAATTTGATACACCTCACCCCTAGTTCTCCGTTACCAACTTTGGCTACGCCGTATCTCTACCAAGCATAAATATATTGTTTTTTGTTGGGTCCCTGGTCATGTTGACGTACAGGGCAATGAACAGGCAGACACTGCTGCACGGTCAGCAGTACATGACCTACCAATTTCATATAGGGGTGTTCCATTTCCGGGACTATTTGCTCTAATAGCTACCCACCTTCACACCCTTGGCAACAACGTTGGTCTGCTCTGCTCAATAACAAACTTTGTTCTATTAAACCGAGTATGGGTTACTGGCCGTCTTCTTGTCACCAGTGTCGAGGTTGGGAGACTACTCTCTCCCGCCTTCGCATTGGCCATACTCGTCTTACTCATGGACATCTCATGGAGAGGCGCCCTGCTCCTCTCTGTGAGCATTGTCAGGTTCCATTATCGGTCAGCCATATTCTGTTAGACTGCCCCCTTTATCAACGAGCACGCAGAATTTACCTCCAACGTCGTCTCCGCTCTACTACTCTCTCTTTACCTTCCCTTCTCGCTGATGGACCACCTTTCATCGGACTCTCTCTCATTGACTTTTTGACAACAACTGACTTACTCCACAAACACTGACGATACTTTAGGCCTTTCTACCTCAATCTCTTGCTACCCTCTACCCCTGCACTATCCCCTGCCCCACTGTTTTCTGTAACCTACTAATCATCCCTCCCTCCTTCTGCCGCCCAGTACCCTTGCTTCCTTCCCTACCCTGCAGCGCTGTATAGCCCTTGTGGCTTAGCGCTTCTTTTTGATTATAATAATAATATAAACCATCAACACCCATGCTTCACTCCCACATAAGAGAGTTGGTATAACTATACTCTTATACATTCCCTCTTTGATTCCGTGGATAATGTTCTTTGTTTCCACAAACTCCTCAGTGCACCACTCACCTTTTTTCCCTCATCAGTTCTATGATTCACCTCGTCTTTCCTAGACCCATTTTCTGACAAGTCCATCACCAAATATCTGAATACATTCATTTCCTCCATACTCTCCCCCTCCAGTCTGATATGCAATCTTTCATTTCCCAGATTTTTTATCCTCATCACCTTGCTATTTCCTATTTTTGCTTTTAATTTCTTTCTTTTTACACACCCTACCTAACTCGTCCACAAACCTCTGCAACTTCTCTTCAGAATCTCCAAAAGCACAGTGTCATCAGCAAAAATGATACTGTGACAAGTTCCACTTTGTGTTAGATTATTTTTCTTTTAATCCCATGCCTCTTGCCAATACCTGAGCATTCACTTCTCTTACGACCCCATGTATAAAAATATTTGAATAACCTGGTGACACCTCACATCCTTATCTAAGCCTACTTTTACTGGAAAAAATCTCCCTGTCTCCTACATACTCTCACGTGAACATATCTTCATAGAAACTCTTCACTACAGAGACAGTGCCAGGACTAAGATTCATATTAGAAAAGTTGTGTATTAGGGATGCTTCAACAAGACGGCGATTGTGAAAGGCTGAAGTAGGGTAGACAGTTTTAGCTGAGGACCAGTCAACAAGATGATTGTAATCTTTAATATGACAGAAAAGAGCATTTTTGGTGTCGGCAAGTCTAACACTACTCCTATGCTCTTTAAATCTGTCGGAAAAGTAGCAGCTAGTTTACTCAAAGTATTGAAGAATACCATAGAAGCAGAAAATAGAGTAGACTCCGAAGGAATCAATAGATTATTGCAAAGGGTGTTAGTTTGACGATGTTTGATGTTTAAGGAACGGAGAGAGTTGTTGAGATTAGAAAGACTGGAAATATAGGGAAAGCAGAGAACAGGAGATTTCACAAGAGTAGACAGTTTAGGAGAGGAAAAAAAATAAGTCTGATTAGCAAGAGATCAGGCAGAGTTTAAGAAATCCGAAGGGTAGCCAAGACGAGAGAATGAACTGCGAAGAGTTTAAGGTTTCTACGTATTCCCAACGTATTTGTGTCTGAAGGGCACAAATACGTCAGGCACGGAGAATGACAGAAATAAGAACACGTTTTTGACACAGGGATCACGGTAAGAAAACTAGTGAATGTACATGCCACTGTGGATAGGCTTGCGGCAAACGGAAAAAGAATAGCCTGTAGCCGAGCAATGAACATGCACATAAAGGAAAGGAAGCAATGAGTTAGATTCCCATTCAGTTTTAAACTTGATGGGAGGAGCGAGATTGTTAAAGGTATCGAGAAATGGCTGTGAGTGACTAGAGTCAATGGGCGAAAGAGAAAAGATGTTGATTACAGGAGGACGGGCGCACACCAATAGTAGGAAGGAGAACAGTTCCGAAATATTCGATATAAAGATTAGCAAGAACAGGGTATTGAGGGAGAGTCATAGAGAGCTTGTACTTTTACTTACTTACTTAATCTCCCCATCTCAAAAATTACTGCTTTTCATAATAAAATTAAATTTCTGCCCACCAATATACTTCGTTTACAACATCTTTTCCTGCACCTCGACGTATTTATGTTCTTTCTATTTATCTCCCCACTACTTACATCTTTTTCCTTCACAACCCAGTCCGTATCTTCCTAGAACATATTAATAAATAAAGTTAAATATTCTGTGTATGAAATGTTTGACAGGAACAATTAACAGACGTGCTACTCACCATTTCTTCCAGAGCTGAGTCATTCTCCACTGACTGGATGGATTGTCTAGATGTCACTTCCTTTAGTGACGGTAACACTTGACCCGCTGGTAATTCATCACTTAATACTTTCCTCATCTCTCTCACTTGTACGGAAGTGGCCAATAATTCACCAGTTACTAATAATTCATCAATTACTGATCGGTCTGTTGTATCTAAGTTTTCGTTGTCTGATTCGGCGGTAGAGGCCACGTCCTTGCTCTCTGATTCGGCGGTAGAGGCCACGTCCTTGCTCTCTGATTCGGCGGTAGAGGCCACCTCCTTTCTTTCTGATTCGGCAGTAGTGACCATGTCTTCACTCTTCAAGCCTGCGATATTCACCACCTGTCGAAAAGCACCAGTGATCTTTATTCCAAATAAATAAAGAATCATATTTTTAGCGTGTTACAGATGTTATACATTCCTATAAATATATCATGGCTTATAGCTCATTACAGCTTCTGTCTCACAACCGTAGGACTAGAGTTTAGTAATGACGAGTCGAGACAATGGAAAACTCCCATGACACCTGTTACCCCTCTTCACCTAGCAGTGAATAGTTACGTGAATGTTAGCAGACTATTGTAGAACTAATTCTTAGTGGGGTAGTATACCATTGATAATGTAATTAATTAGGTTGTGAATGTTTACGTTGATTATAAACACATTAATCAAAATATTAATGTAATAAAGCGCTCCTAATTTACTATTAGATTAGTAAATCTTATATTTTGTTTGTTCAAAATATATTTAATCCTGAATTCTCATAGTCAGTAAAAAGATATTTGAAGTTTTTGACTATACTTGATTTTAAAGTTGAAGGGAAATATTTTTAAATGCCTCTCCTATGAAAAATCGAAAGTCTAAAATTTTCTTGTCCAGGTAAAAGAATATTTGTGTTAGTTACTTAACCGAGCTTTTAATTCATTGTTTCTTCTTTCATAAATAAATAATATTCTGTCAGACAACCCTGAAGTTCACAATGTTTAAAAAGTTAGCGTTTGGATTGTTACTGGATTGTTTAGCTCTGCTGGACTAACGTTTTCACAGATCTTTTTTTAACTTATTGCACTATTTTCCGACGAGGTGAATTACAGCAGCATAGAAGATGTGTTTTTTAGTAAGCTATACATTCCTACCTGCCCGAGGCAGCAGGGAGGCTAGCAATACATACATGAAGTTCCATATAGTCTTGCTAGATCTACTGTAAGTGGATCAACAGTCGTGTGCAAGAATTTTTCAAGTATTGCCATCATGTAGGTAAAAGATACGTGTTCATTAAGACAATTTCTTTACAGAAATGTGTCAATGATATAAAAAAAAAAAGATAAACAGATGAATAATAGAGATGTCACCACCTGCGTATTTTTAATGTAAAGACGTTTTGCCAACCAGAGAATAAGCGGTGAAAAACGTGAGAAGGTAACTTGAGGTGATCAGTACCTCATCCTTGAGAGATGTACCTGTCTTCAACTTTGATAAATATAACGCAGATGCACTTGCATGAAGATTTGTATACTGGAGACAGGTGAGTGAAGCATTTAGTAATAGAGTCACTGGTGGGTTGATCTCAGTAGAGAATGAAGGAGACAAACGTCAGAGTTGAAGAAGAATTCTTAGAACCAAGATTACAAAATGTTGCTGCGACAGACAAGTATTATTATAATAATGGAAGAGAGGGCTAACAAGAATTTAAATTCGACTTATATGCAACACCTGGGTGTAATTATTCTGCAGAAGTTTCTCCAAGTAGTCACTCTATTATTTAGTATTTAGAATAATTAGTGAAAGAAAACTAAGAGATGATATAAAAGGTCCAGTCCCTCAGATGTGAAAGCAAATCTAATGTTTACATAACATGTTCTCATAATATACATCCTCCAGTAGTCCCCGCCCACCAGTGTGGCTGTTTCCTTCTGCTTCACTTTACTTGTCTCTAGTATATGTCTATCCTTGTGCATCTGCTTTTGATTTATCGAGGCCGCAGGGCTCAATATCTCCATTCAAAACTGAGGAAATAATTACTTTAAACTATCACATCTTGTCTTCTCATGTTAATTCACTCTACCGGACTGATAAAGCGCTGGTTGGTGATGTTCCGCAGTGAAGATGATCAAGTGTTGCTTACGTGTCATAATCGTTTACTTGTTTATTTTAAAAATTATCAAAATATAAATAATAAAAATTCTAATGCAAATTTAACGCTTACCTAACCCATTGGCATTATCAACTACCACTAGTGAGCCCCACCCACTTGTCATACCATCATCAACTGCTTTACCTTTCCTGTAAGCCTCTGTAATAATGCTTCAGTGTTATATATATCAAGACTAACTGACTAAACACCTTCAATAACGCTAATATAATAATGCTACTGATTGACTAAACGTGATCACAATAAACAAATGTTCAACCAGTATTATATTTATCGACAGTTACATTGAAAGTATATCGTTACGGTCGGGTTTTTCAGTCCTAATTCAAATAAGCTAAAATTACCAATATGTACGATACAAGAGGTTAGTTGACCATAGATCAGAAGCTGGGTAAGATAATAGAGGTGGAATGGGCAGCCTTTGACCGAGGTGGAGTGGGAGGCTTCCCTGTGTAAATAAGAATTTTTTTTTTATATTTTATTTAAAATACAGTATACATTATACATGGAAGCAAACGTGTCACTAAACCAATCAACATGGAACAACAAAATTAAAGTACAAGATACGTATACACAATCCAATACTGATGCAAGCAGCATCAGTATGAGTATGACTGGAGACATCAGTATGCGTAAGACAGGCAGCATCAGTATGAGTAAGACAGGCAGGTTCTGTATGAGTAAGACAGGAGACATCAGTATGAGTAAGACATGCAGCATCAGTATGAGTATGGCAGGCAACATCAGCATAAGTAAAGCAAGCAGCGTCAGTAAGAGTAAGGCAGGCACCATCAGTATGAGTAAGGCAAGCAGCGTCAGTTCGAGTAAGGCAGGCAGCATCATTTTAAATAAGACAGGAAGCATCAACATGACTAAAACAGAAAGCATCACTATGAGCAAGGCAGGAGACATCAGTATGAGTAAGGCAGGCAGCATCACTATGAGTAAGACAGGCAGCATCAGCATGAGTAAGGCAAGAAACATCAGTATGAGCAAGGCAGGCAGCATCAGTTGGTAAGGAAAGAAAACCTCAGTATGATAAGGAAAGCAACTCAGGATAAGGCAGGCGCATCAGTAGATAAGGCGACATCAGATAAGAAAAAGGCAGGCTTTCAGTATGAGTAAGGGAGGGGGGTTTCGTATTGTAACAGCAGACAGTATGAGCGGGAAAACTCATATAGTAAGGAAAGAAAACATCGGGATGGAAGGCAGGCACATAAATTTAAGAAAGGGGAGGCACATCAGATGGAAGGCAGGCAGCATCTATGATGGGGGAAAGCAGCATCAGTAGAGTGGGGCCGGTCTCAGTATGGAAGGGGGCACTCAGATAAAATTAAGGCAGGCACATCATAGGGAAAAGGGGGAAGGCGCATCAGTGGGGAAAAGGCGGGGAATCATATGGTTAAGGGGCAACAACGCAGAATGAGAAAGGGGAGGCAGCATCGTAGAATAAGGCGGGGGGTATCAGCAGGGTAAGGCGCAGCATCATATGAGTAAGGGAAGCGCTCAGTATAGTAAGGGAAAGGCCCCGCATCAGTATGAGAAAGGGCGGCATCTTCTTAGAGTAAGGCGGCATATCAGTATGGGTAAGGAGGCATCATCAGAAGAGTAAGGCAGGCTCATCAGTAGGGTTAAGGCAGGCAGCATCAGATGGAAAAGGGAAGCACTTCATAAGTAAGGCAGGCATCGTCAGTAGGGGAAAAGGCAGCTCATCATATGGTGGGGCAGGCGCTCAGTATGAGAAAGGGGAAAAGCAGATCAGTATGATTTAAGGAGGCCGCATCAGTATGAGTTAAGGCAATAACTCATATGAGTTAAGGCAGCATGAAAATTAGTACGAGTAAGGCAGGCTTTCACCCCAGCATGAGTAAGGCAGGCACTCAGTATGAGTAAGGCAGGCCAGCTCAGTATGAAAAGGCTAAGTAACTCAGTATGGTAAGGCAAGCAACATCAGTACGATTAAGGAAGGCAGATCGATGAGTAGGAAAGGAAAAGCATCAGTATGAGCAAGGCAGGCATTAACAGTATGAGTAAGGCAGGGTGTCTTATGAGCAAGCAAGCAACCTCAGTATGAGTAAGGGCAAGCAAATCAGCATGAGTAAGAAGGCACCCTCAGCAGGGAGTAAGGGAAGCAATCCATTGAGTAAACAGGCAGATCAGTATAAGTGAGAGAAAGCACATCAGTATGAGTAAAGGCGGGCAGCATCAGTATGAGTAAGGCAACCAAAGTCAGTATGAGTAAGGTAGCATCTCAGCATGAAGTAAGGAAAGGCATCATCAGTATGAATAAGGCAGGAGCTCAGTATGAGTAAGAAGCAGCATCAGTTCGAGTAAGGCAGGCATCATCGGTATAGTAAGGCAGGCATCATCAGTATGAATAATGCAGGCAGCATCAGTATGGGGTAAGGGGAAGCAGCATCAGTACGATAAGGCAGCATTTCAGTATGAGTAAGGCAGGCATCTTTCAGTATAAATAAGGCAGGAGCATCAGTTGAGTAAAGGAAGCAGCATCAGTACGAGTAAGGCAGGCATGTCACATGGTAAGGCAGTATAAATCAGTATGAGTAAGGCAGGCATCATCAGTATAAGTAAGGCGGGGCAGCATCAGTATGAGTAAGGCAGGCAGCTTTCAGTATGAGTAAGGCAAGCAACGTCGTATGAGTAAGGCAGGCAGCATAAAGTACGAAAAGGGCAGGCATCATCAGCATGAGTAAGGCAGGCAGCATCAGTATGAGTAAGGGAAGCAGCATCAGTATGAGTAAGGCAGGCAGCATCAGTATGGGTAAGGCAGGCAGCATCAGTATGAGTAAGGGAAGCAGCATCAGTACGAGTAAGGCATCACTGGGAGACAGTGGTAAGGACCCACTCCTAACCCTGTGTCACTGCGAGACAGTGGGAAGGACCCTGGGTGACCCTGTGTCACTGGGAGACAGTTGTAAGGACCCAGGTTAACCCTGTGTCACTGGTAGACTGTACCCTGTTTCACTGGGAGACAGTGTAAAGGACCAATTTTAACCATTGTGTCACTGGGAGACAGTGGCAAGGAACGAGGGTAAATCTGAGTCATTCTGAGACAGTGGCAAGGACCCAGGTTAATCCTGTGTCACTGGGAGACAGTGGTAAGAATCCAGGTTAATATTGTGTGCCTGGGAGACAGTGGTAAGGACCCATGTTAACTCTGTGTCACTTG